CAGCATTTAATCACTGAAAACTTACTATAAGTATTTTTTATTTGTTTGGTACCTGTGATTTTAAACAGTAAGTTACTTGATACTACGGTTTCCTTTTTACAGGAATTCAAAATGTGCAAAAATGTGCTTGATTTAAGAAAGCCTCAGTTCCCTCACATGGCCCTGTGGTGGCCAGGATTAGCATTTTTCTTCATCTCTACAAAAATGCCTGTTTCATGAGCTTTGGAAGCGGACGGACAGAGGAATCCCACAAGTGGCCGCTATCTAGAATAGTGCCTTGCACACAGCCATTGTCATTCCATTTCTACTGCTATTCTGCTATCCTTGTTATTTCTTTGACCAGGGGTGGGGAATGTCTGGCACATGGATCTCATATAAAGCCCTTAAAATCATTTGGTTTGGCCCTGCTGAGGCGTTGGGGGTAAATTAATTAAATATTTGACCAAATATAGAGGGATGATTTTTAAGTTGATAATTTTGTATGCCCTTCAAATGATGTTATAAATTATCTAAATGGCCTTTCACAGGAAAAAGGTCCCCCACCCTTCCTTTAGATGTTCCAATTGAAGAGTTTTGGCTTTGACATCAAATAACCATTTCTTAAGCTATTTTTTTGGAGCCATATAAAGAAAGAGCACAAATTTAAATTAATTTGATTACAAATCAATGTAATGTCTATCCCCTCCTTCACACCAAGTCAAAACTGCTTTTCCTTATGTTAAATCTTCATTTATCAAATAAAGATGCAAATTTTATAGGAATTAAAATGTTGTTCATTTGCACAACAAAAGTTTGAGTGGATCCATAGCAATTTAAACCAGACTGGAACTTGCAGGTTATATTTGCCATGAAATATAACTAAAAAGGAAAATTTTCAGAATAGGATTTCTCAATTTGTAAGTATACACAAGAAACACAGCCCAAATAAATGTGAACTAATTAATGTTACTTGATATTAAAATCTTGAAGAGATTTTGTGCTTGTAATGTATGTAGTATATGTGTAGTGGGGTTTCTAAAAAGCAAGAAATATTCTAATCTTGAGAAATAATTTGCTTTCTTTTTTAAAAAAAGGAAGAAGTTGCCAGTTTTCAGTGTTCCATGTTAATAGAAAAATAACATGTCATGAAAAATCCAAACAAGTATATAACTCAAAATTTACATATATGTGACATGGTTACACTTGTTTCTCTATGGACTGAGTTTCATTAATTTATTTCCATAATTCCATTTTGATTGACGTTATTTAACTCTCCCCTTCCCCTTTTTAACCCAAGAATAACATAGACAGTAGTAAAGGAAGCTGGTAGGTGAAAGTATTTTAAGATCTGAATTTATCCTGGATAAGCCAGACAGATGATTTAGGTATGGTTCCAATCACAATAATACCAATTTTAATAAAGAAACTTGCAGAAAGTGCATATGGTATTTCATGACTCTATAGTTAAAGCCTGATTTAAATTATATTTACATAGAACTTACTATGAAATTCTGCCTAGCCTGCATGCTCAGTTTTTAAATGATTTTAAGTAAGCTGACAGAGATTTATTTAAATCCTGTCTTTGAATTTTAAAGACACCTCTTGGCAATACAAAGTACATGGTGTTAGGACAAAAGCCCACACTTCTCTAGAAGTGAATTGCCTATTGCATTACTGAAAGTGCCACAACGGAAAAGAAATGGGTTATCATAAACATGCTCTATCAAGAAGTGCCTCTAATTCTGCAATGGTTCCTGAACCAGCAATTTCATTACTTGCATTTCAAAACAGAATTGTAACACCACCATGAAATTCCTGGTGGTCTGAATCAGCTGCAGACAAGGCTCTGTAGCCTCCGAGGTGATTAGCTTAGCAGTAAAAACAAACAGCCTCTTGACCCCAGGGACTTTCATTCTCATAAATAAACTGGTAACCCGCAGATACAAACCATTTTGATGAAAATCAATCCCCCTGTCATCTTCCAATTTAGCAGCTTTGGGAGTCTTTTATAACCTAAAGATTTAAGAGCAAGCTGTTGAGGGAATGTACTGTACCTTCACACTGTCTGTTTTTCATGTTTCTCTGAAATCCAGGCTTACAGCGACAGAAAACAGATGTTTTTATTTGATTACAATATGCATCATCTCCACATGGATTCACATTATCTTCACAGGTATATTCAGTGGAAGCTGGGATTAAAGGATATGATCAAAACTAATATAGCTGTAATTCCTGAAGTAGGAGTTTACTTTTGTTCTTAATTTAAAATTATATGTGTTTTACCCTAGATGACTCTTTTTTGAATTAATAAAACTATGGTCTCTCCATATGAGCCCTCTTCTCTGTTAAAGGTAAAGAAGAGGATAAAAACTGAACTCATTGACATTGAATGTAGTGTAGACCAAACTGCCTGCAGCTGTTACCAAGTTAAACTACTTTCTAAAAGGAAGTCCATAGTCAATGATTCTCTTAGATTAGGCAGTCGGTTCCATGCTTCTATGTCTTGGGGTTGGGTGGGTGGGAAGAAATTAACCAAAAAACTTATATCCATAACCATGGACACAGACAATAGTGTGGTGAACACCTGGGTGGGGGCAGGGGGGGCTAGAAGGTTTCAATGGAGAATAAAGGGCACATCTGTAATACCTTCAACAATAAAAATAAATTGTCAAAAAGAATAAATGATTCTAATGACAAGCTCTCTTTACTATATTATGATGCACGGGTTCTGCATCCTTCTCTAATAATCAAAACATCTCCTAGAAACTACCTAGAGTTGTAGCCGTTTATGTTTAAGCTAAGCTCAGTGTCAGGGACATAATCATATATACATGTTACTCGAGCAGGTAGGCACAACCAGCAGTTCTTAAACTTTTACAGGGACACACGTGAGGACTGAGTGTATAACATGTTCCAATGGCCTTGGGCAGCAATACAGGTTAGGAAGGACTTTGAGTTATATGTAATTCCAAACATACTTGTTATCATTTCACTGCTTCATCTCCCATCCAGGAAAACATTTTAGAATGCAATTAAAGACAAAATATTATAGGGATAATGTTAAATTATCCCTATTTTGCCTAAACAACTCAAACTATTGAGGAATATGAGAACTCTCATTATCAAAATTGTAAGCATTATTAATCCCCACTAACTCTTGAATAGTTTACAATTAATTAAATTACACAAGTGGAATTATACTATGGATGAGCCATGTAGCCGTATCCTGATGTGCGTTGCTTCATCAGCCAGTGAGGAACAACTTAGATGCATAAATAAGAAAATAAGAAAAGACTCAAAAGTGGGAAGTATTTAGTGGCTTTTATAACTAACCTTAATTTATGGTCTTCAATTCAACCATTTCTTAATATAAAAAATCAAATATCAAACATTATCCGAATACAAAATGCTTAATAGTCAAGGTCTAATAGCTCAATTATCATAGCACTCTATTTGAATAAAATAATGATAGTTTCTCTATGAATAATTTGGCAATAGGTTAAAATTTTAAAACATTGAAAAATGTTCTTTATCATCAGTAAAGAAATATCAATGCTTACAAAATTCAAAAAAGTATCATCATTATATTTTATAAACTAAAATATTAAGTGATATAGATTCCTTTGCTGAACATCAAATTTGAATTTAAATATTGAGTTCTCAGCTACAGCTCCAATAAAGTCACTCATAGCAAAACCAGCCTTTCCCACATCACACTTTCGGATATCAACTTAAGTGATGTGCATATTTGCTTTAGTTAAAGCTTAACAAATGGTATTACTTAAGCACATTTTGAACAGAAATATTCTTCTCAGAATAATAAAATAAATTTGCTCATAAGAAAGCAAAAAGTGAACTTGTGTGCCACGGCACCTTTTGAAAAGAAAACAAACTCACACATTCTGCAGCCTTGTTCATCTGAACCGTCTCCACAGTCATCCAGCTGATCGCACTGGAGGTCCATGGGAATGCACTTTTTATTGCTGCAAGCAAACTCGTCTTTTTTACAAGGTCTTGCTTTATATGTAAGCTTACCTACAAGGTCATTAAAAATAATTGGAATTTCATCAAATCAAAACAAATTTATTGAGAATATAGCAAGTCCAAGATATTACTAAATACTATAAAAACACATGGGTCCACAATCCTTTATTTGAAGCTCTTGGGGCCTAATTTTAAATTTCTGAAATGTTGACTTTTACAATATAGCAGTGTATTTACCTTATAGTAAACACCACCATATTTCCACAGGAAAATGTGTGAATATAATCCTGAGTGGGATTTTTTTAAGCACTATAAACTGCCACAGACCAGATCAAGTCAGTATTTGTCACCAGTTTTGACACATACTTCAGTAAAACTTTGATTTAAGTGTTTTTAATTTCAGAATTGTGAAAAAGGAATTGGGTGCACATACATACAATCAATAGAAGCCCACTCCGACCCAAGGAGATCTTTTACAGAACATTTTTAAAGCACTATGTTATTTCTCTTACACAGTATTTTCTTTAATAAAGTACCTATAAGGAGATTTATGGATGAGTGGAGATTCTGGATTAAGTTGTACAGTGCTACTATGCAAAGAAAATGTTAGCAGATTATTTTCATATTCTGTCAGATAATCAAGTGTCTACAAAGCTACCCTCAGACATACACGTGAAACCTATTTAAAAATTTTTTGAGCTCTAAAATCATTTTATTATTTTATATTTTTATAGCTTCACTTAATCAATTATTTCACATTCAATGGATTTACCACCACAGTGATCTTCGTCTGAGTTGTCCCCACAGTCATCAATCCCATTGCACATCTGCTCAGACTGCAGGCATATTCTGTTATTTCTGCATCTGTAAGGTCTCGTGGGTGGGCAAAGAAATTTGACTGAAAATGAAACAAAAACAAACAAAGCAGCTCCATTGGATACACTGACTTTTGAACAACTATTCATCTTTTGTCTTTCTTTTAGTTTTTTTTTTTCGTTTCAAGTCCATAATCTAGCTTTTCTGAATATCTTTTGTTATGGAAATCGCCTACAAGTAGATACTAGGAAAAATGTGTGATAATAGAAGCTTATGATCCTAGTTATTTATATTAACTACAGAAAAGAGAGCACAGCTGAAATGTTGAATGAAATAAGAAAAAGAGACAAATTTCATGCTCTCATTTCCAGATGCCTTATCTTAGCTGCCTTCACTTGGTGTACCAAATTAATTTATGCCTTCAGTTTATACAACATGGCAGGACACTTACTATCTAAAAGAACAATTTCACACCAAATGGAGCTTCAGCAAGCATATGTTACAGGCCCAAAACTGAAAGTAGGCCATTCAGTGAAAAAAGCAACAACACACACCCCAAAAAAACAAAACAAAACTCAATAATACTATAGCTGGGCTTCTTACTCTATGTCAAACAAATGTGCAGCTATGTATTTGAGGCACATAAGGTGATCTTAGTTTATTCATCTTTTTAAAATATGTTTTTTATTGATTTTAGAGAGGAAGAGAGAGAGAAACATTGACTGGCTGCCTCCTGCACACTCCCCAAAAGGGGTTAAGCCTGAAACCCAGGCATGTACCCTGACTGAGAATCAAACTGGTATCCCTTCTGTGCACAAGACAACACTTAATCATTTGAGCCATATTGGCCAGAGTAGGCAGTTTTTTTCATTTTAGTGTGTGTGTGTGTGTGTGTGTGTGTGTGTGTGTGTGTGAGAGAGAGAGAGAGAGAGAGAGAGAGAGAGAGAGAGAGTTACAGAGATACTAATGGAAGCCAGGGAATTCTATTTTTGTCCTTTCTATCGCTATCTCTTCAAAAGACTTCCACCCATGAAGTAGGAAACATTTATAATGACTCTTCATCCTCATAGAACATTACAGGGCTCTCTCTTTGATCCCTTCATGTTCTCACTCTTGAATTCTCTGCTTAGACATTTTCATTGACTCCAAACCCTCAAGACTTGCAACTTGATATCTAATTATAGCATTTCACAATTAATTATAGAACTTTCCCACGGAAATTTTAAATATAACAAGTTCAAAACTCAATTCCTTCTCTTCTTTCCTCAACTCCCTTTCCCCAAACATAAGATTTGTCTATTTCCATAGTTCTGTTAGTGGCCCATCATAGCCATTTGTCTGGGATTATTCTAAATGCATTCCTCTCATTGACCTTTGACTGTGATTACTCAACAAGTTCAGATGATATTGTCCCCAAACTTGTCCTCTTCTTTCCATGCATGCCAGTTACAATCACAATAGAGCAATTCTTTATTATCTCTGACAGGACTGTAGTAGAACCCTAAATGTCTCAGTTTTACTGCCTAACCCAAGATTCTCCAAAAGCCACCATAACAATCCACCTAACACATTAATCTAATTACCTCTTCTAGACTTATCTATCACCTTCAGAATAAGATCTGAGGTATTTTACATGGCATAATAGACTTATCATTACCTTATCCACGCCACTCTTTCAGATTATCTCTTATCACTCCTAATCTTTGAGTGTGGGAACCCTGATCTGCGTACACCAGAGGTTCCAGGCCACGTTGCCTTATGCAGGTGCAGAAGCAAGTAAACAGCAAACTTACTGCGTGCACCGTGCAGGTGCACTTTTCTATCACCCAAATATTGATGTCACTATTTGCCAAGAAGCTTCTTTTGTCTGAGTTGGTATAAAGATGTGTTGCTGACCAGCCGGTGCATGGCTATTTCGTTGGGCTGCTGTGTTAGCAAGGGCTCCTGTTGGCTGTGGCTGCTGCTTTGTAAGGCTACTCTGAAGAACTGTTACATCTGATGGCTCCTTGGTTAGCAATGGCTACTTGGTCTACAATAAAATCTCTCTTATGTCCCTGTGATGACTTCTCATGTCTCCTCCATCTCATACCCGGTGTTCATGAAGGTCCAGTTCCTGGCAGAGAATCTGTGCACCTCACAGTTGGTGTAGTCGAACAGGATCAAAGAATAAGTACCCCAACATGTAGCAATGCTACTTTATTAGCTCCTTAAATATGCCCTATCCTCCTGCTGACCTCCTCACTTTAACTAAAATCTGCTTGTTACTCTAAGCATAGTTCCTCCCTATAGGTATTTTAGGAATGTCTCTTAAATTGCTCAAACCTCATGTTATTTCATGTTTGAAGATATCCTAGTTTCCTACTACAGCTTCCGGAATTTTATTACCATATTTTTTCACATTCTATTTTAAAAATAAACTAAAACAAAAACTGCTATTTTGAGGTCAAGAATTTGATTATACCTCTTTCTTATTGCTATTTTCTCATCAACTTCATAAACATCAAACTCTCCTTAATTCACTGAAGACTATAATACCTACCCTTCATCCAAATTAATTCCACATCCTAGGTGATTTCAACATCCAAATGAGCAAACCACCCAATGAGTGGACCTCTTAGTTCTTTAAGTTTCTCAAACTAAAGGTATTTATATTTAATCTATTTAGGCCATCCATTCCCCTAAGAAGGCTGTGGACATTGAAAGACTTCAACAAACTTTTAAAATATTCAGCCAATGACAGTTTGTGTTGCTTGCAGATATGAGCACTATTATACACTAGAGGCCTGGTGCACAAAAATTTGTCCACTGGCGGGGGAGGGAGAGCGGGGGGGGGGGTGTCCCTTAGCCCCATTTGTGCCCTCTCACAGTCTGGGAAGATAACCACCTGCTGGCTTAGGCCCGCTCCCTGGGTGGCAGGTGGCAGGGCCGATCCGGGGGTTGGGGCACTGCCCCGGGTTGGGTCACACACGGGACACCCGGATGGCGGCCAGTTGGGCTGGCCGATCACTGCTGCAACGCCTAGTCACCCCGGGTCGGGTCGCACATGGGATGCCCGGATGCCTGCTGCCCCAGGTCACAGAGAGCCAGCCCGAATGGCAGCAGGGCAGGTGGGATGGCGCTGTCCTGCCCTGCCTTCAGTATGCAAATTAGCCACCATATTTGTTGGTGGTTAATTTGCATATCGTGCTGATTAGCCAATGTGAGGCGTAGCAAAGGTATGGTCAATTACAATGTTTGTCTATTATTAGATAGGATGGTGTAGCTGAATTTGATATTTCCTCCAATTACTTCAGTTACAAAATCACTAATTCAAATGCTCCAAATTCTGATCATAATCTGCTACTTTTCCAACTTTTAAAATCAAGCAGTCTCATTAAGACACATAAAGCTGAAACATAAAGCTGAAACCTCAGCCTTAGCCCATCGATACATCTACCTTTTCCCTCTTTTCCACTCCCTTCTTTTGTATTTATTTTCATCTCTAATGGTATTACCTCCCATGTTTCATCTCTTAATATACTCATTGGGTAAATACTTATTGATAACTTATTATATGGTGGACACTGTTCCAAGCACTCACTTAGAAACTCACTTTTGCTCAAATAATCTGAATTTTCTGGCCTTTTCCTCTTTTTAATCTTAGTTATCTAAAAAACCCACAAACTTAGATGAGTAAACCATCTGCTATTCCATGGTCTGCATCTGGGAAGTTCAGGAATGTTGCAGATGATCATATCACAAGGCTAACTGATATAACATATATGAATATGTATCAATGGCAGATGGGCCTTGAATACTACTTGAAAATCCTATACATATATCTAGCCATGTCGCTCTCTTTCACTTTGCTATAATGATTCAAATTTACATTCCTTTCAAACTTCCCTACAACACCAATCTTCCACATTCTATATATGAATATGCTTCTAATTGCACACACACACAAAAACAGAAATAAAGGGATGGAAAATGTGTTATTGTCTAATTAAATGACTGCACATCGACACAGAGTCAATCAATTCATTCAACTCATTTCAAACATTTTAATAACAGAGAATGAGTCTCTATTCCTATCAAAAACTAATTTTTTCACCTTTAATGCAACCTTTCCCCCCTGACTCTTCAAAAACCATTCCTTCTTTATGAAGATAGAATGTCCCTTTAAGCAGAGTTCATCCTATTCTCACTGCCTTGTCTGTACCTTTTACTTAATTCTATCAGTGCCTGAAATATAATGTATGGAAAATATTATATATCCAACAGAATATCTCCATTTAAAAAGGACCATGTGCTCATACTTTTAAATCCCATTTTTTTAGCACAGTCTCCAGCACATCATAGTTTGACTCAATGTTGGTACCAATGAGGGAATTAAGAAATATCCAGAGAATCAATCTAGATGTATTTTACAAGTTTTCCAGCAGCTGTGTGGCATGTCACTGAGAACCATTTCCTGGCCCTGGAAGGTATTTAAGATTTTTAGATTTAAATATTAAATAGCTCCTATTTCACTTATCTGTGTAATGTGTGTATCATATGCCTAAAGAGAGATATCTTTATATAAATTTATCCAGATAGATAGAAATATAGATATACTAGATATGCCTCTCAACAACTTCAGCCTCAGTAGTGGGAGCCATGTAGAACTATATAATTTTATTATTCACATTTTTTCCATGTACTTATCTGTCAAAGGAAAATTGTTTTAGGCTAAAGTACCAATTTGGTATGATGCCAAAGTCCTTAGATGAACCTTACTCAATTCCAAAAGGTCAACTACTCTAAATCCTCTCAGACAGACCGTATCTATCTTGTGAACAGTGTTGACAGGTGAAAGTTCAGATTTAAGAGGGCTCTCCAGAAAGTCATAAAGTTTGAACAGGGTAATCTCTTGTTACTTGAACAAAAGCTGTATCTGTGGTTACCCTTTATCTACCGAACCCAGGGCAGCAGGATTTGTGGGTCCCTTCACCATGTCACTGATTCATGCGGGTGCGTTAGATCGGGAGATGAGAGAGCAATCTAGAGCCACGAAATGCCTCACCACACAAGTCCGGGGCTTCGTCAGAGTTGTCTCCACAGTCGTCCTCTCCATCACACACCCAGAAATGGAGTTTGCAAAGGGAATTATTGCAAAGGAACTCATCTGCTCTACATATATTTCCTCCTTTATTAAAAACAAACATAAAGATATAGCATAATTAAAGCCAGTCAGCAAAACATGTATTCTGCTAATTAGCACAGATTCTAGCTTCTCAGTTCTTTATTTTTTTTCTATCTAATATGAGATGTCCAAACTATTTTTTTTAAAAAAAGATATTAATGGTTTACTTTTCAAAGCAATCTGGTATTGCCCTCATGTATATCATATTTTCTTTAAAAATACTAATATCTGGTCAAAGAAAGTTTTCTGAAATCTAAATTATCTTCCTTTTCATATATTTTTATGTTATTGAGCATAAGAAAATTTAGATTTTTAAATGGTATTAACCTTCATTATTAAAAACGGTATTGTTCTGGAAAGAAAAGACACAGAAAAGGAGATCATTTAACTATATCTAAAACTGACAAACTGAATCACTGAAAAAAGATTAACCAGTAAAAAGGTTGTGTTGTCATAGAAAAATAATTTTATATAGAAATAAAAAATTGGCAATGTGTTGAAATATTAGTTATCTTCATGATAATTATGTAATAAAGTACTCTATTTTTAATTTTCAAAATGTTTTCCTTTTTTTTGCAATTAAATAGAAAGCATTGAGACTATAAGGATATTCTAACTCAAAATTAAGTACACTTGCCACATGCAAAGGACCCAAAGTACTAATAAATTTTGGTTATATGTCTATGTATATAGTAATACATAGGAAACCACAATGGTTGAGGAGTTAGGAACTTCCATTGTTTTGCTTTGGACAAGTCCATTACCCTCTCTGGGACTCAATGTCTTCATATGTTACAAAAGAGGTATGGTTAACCCCTTCCCCAACAATTTTTTTGTTAAAAACGTTTCTTTTTCAGACTAATTTTTTAATTTTGGTTCTATATAGTATTTTTGATGCTGGTTATGAAAACAGTTTGTAACTCGTCTTCCTATAAACCATATTTTTTTTACCATATTTTCTTAGTATACTCGTCGACGACTGAAAAAGAACATTTTCTGAAAACGAGTATACACGTTTCTGCCGGGGAAGGGGTTAAAGTAATTTATAAGTTCATATTTGAAAGCTATTCATGGGGAAACAACACAAAGATACTTTATGGGAATTTAGAATTAAGATTAATAAGATTTTTTTCAGAGAAATACTTTACCTATTTAAACCTCATACCTAAGAAACATAGCTTATATACTGGTTAGATTTGATGATTGAAGGTATTAACATATTTTTAAAAGGATATGCTCATTTAGACATGGGGCTGGGGAGCAATAGTGCTCATTCTGGCAAGCCTACAAAATACCTAGGATGAAGCATTGTTCAACTGTGGATGCTCTTTGGAGTGAATAATGAGCCGAGTCTTATGAAGGTCAAATAGCTCTTGTTCTGGGTTTGACTTGCACACAGATCTCTAATAATTCACTTTCAGTAGCAAAGATTTAATTTAGGAAATTACAGAATCAGATTTGAACTTTTAGAATGATAATTCTAGCTACAGTGTGGAGAACTTGGAAACCAAGATAGTGAGGGATAAAGCCAAGATTGGAGGAAAAAAATGAAGAGGGGTTGCAGCAACCCAGAAAATAACCGATGATAACTTGACATAGATTAGCTACATTTGAGAGAGTAATTGATATTATGAGTTCTTTGAAAATTCAGAAAGTGTGAAAAATTTAATATTTATAGCAAAATGAAAAGAATATCCTTAGACTGGAGGGGAGACTAGTCTTCCATTTTAATAGAAAGGAGGAGGAATGGCTGGGCACAGGTATGGGTGGCTTTGTTAATTTGGTGGTCAGATGTTTAAAGAAGATCAAAATTTATTATTGCTGTGAAGTAGAAGGCAAGAAAAAAAGTCAACTTATTAAAAATCTGATATGCATAATGGTAGAGAGATGATTAAAGAAATATAGATATATTGCTTAGAATCTTAGAATCTTAGATAGTTGAAGTTGAGAACAAGAATGTATAGTGATATGAATCAGAACAGTGTAATATTTTCTGGGGGAAAATCTCAACAGAAGTGTACAGCTTACATTGACATTTCTAAGGACTAACAAACTTGATTAACAAACTCTAAGATACAGATAAAGGCAGGTCCTGGTCTAGAACACTAAGGTGAATATTACCATGTGAGACCTCTGAGAGTATAGTGTCTGGCATTGGGATGCCCCTTTCTTTCAAACTCTGCAATTTTTAGCTCTAAAATGCCCTAACTCAATCTAAATAATCTAAAATAATTTAAATTACTAAAACCCATGCAATAAATTACTATGTACCAATTTTGTCTGACAACAATAAAAAGGATAAATTGCACAGTCTTCAGTTCTAAAAAAAAATTAAAATGACTGTTGGCTTAATTCAATACCAAAATCCATAGAATATAAAAAAGGGTTGTATTCTTTTAAAATAAGATTCTAGTGATTAAATCTCATTGCATGTTCCAATGTACAATGAGTTAAATTTTAAAAAAAACAACTGTGAACTCAATATCTTCAGATTATTTTAGAAAACTCTATTTGTAGCACATCAGGATTGCTGAAAGGAAAAATGAGTTCACTAAAGTATATGAGATAACATTATAATTTTCCCTATGGGAATGTTGGATGTGCCACTCTTTTATTAAAAAGAAGAGACATAAAAATGAAATCATAATTGTAACAGAAAGGCAAGAGTTTTGTGATAACTTACTAAAGGCTTCCTATTGTATCAAAAATAATTTTCATTTCAAAAAATGCACCATGGTGGCTACCATGGCATCCTGAAACTTATATAACTTAAAAGCTTATTTTGAACTGGCATGAAGCACACAGGAAAAACAACAAAAAAGTATACCGGCTATTTTAGAAGAGATTATCTGAATTATAATATCAGTTTCCTAGTCATGTTCTTGATCAGCTCAACAGGAGATTATTAGACAATATAAAGTATTTATTAATTAACAACTTATGTCTAAATATAAGGGAGCCCTTGGCAGGTTCATAAAAATCTGGACAAGAGTGTTACTACAGAAACTAAGCATCTAGAATTCTCATCTCAATTTGGGCTGACAGAAACTTTAATATACAATAATATTTTGTAATTTACATAAGTTGCTTAAATATTTTAAGGTGATGATTACTACAGAGAACAACTCTCAATCTTTTCCACTGAAATTGCTATAAGGAGTATAGTTTGGGAGCTCAGGACAAAGCAAATACTAACTTTCCTTTAGGCAACATGTTTTATCTTTTAAAATATAGACATTGTTTCTAATTCCATAGCATTGTGGGTTTTAGTTTTCCTAAAGTAAACTAGTAAAACTAATTCACTTTGAAGAATATTCCATGTTTATCCAGCCCCTAACAATTAGCTCCTGTCAGCTCATAGGTCCAGATTTGAGATGAATGAAAGTTGGATTTAGCAGCAGAGGAGTTAATTCTGGCATTCTGTTTCCTCAATGCCTTGATGTACATTTATCCAAACCTAAACCACTTCCTAAAAGTAAATTAAATACTAGAAATCTGAACTTTGTCATGCCTGAAGGTACATCCATACAGGATCAAATGCTTTATCCACCAAGATACTTCATTGGAATTTAATTATGAAGTGGAAAAACAGCAACAACAACTAACACTCAAGAAAAGTTAACATGAGTAGAGAAGGGAGGGAAACTTTGACACATTTATAAGTAATTGAATTAAAGGTTCTCAATTATTTAATTAAATAGCTTAAACATTTAGAATAGTTTTAAATATGAGATACCTCAGATGTGAAATGCTATAATGTTCAATTTTTTTATGTAACATTTGACTTTCTAACCTGAGTTCCATTGTTCAGTTTTTATAAAATCCAATATTTAAAAAATAGATTAATCCTGATAAGATTGCTCTCTTTACTCTTGTACCCTCCTCATTCTCTCCAGATGATCCTACAGTTTTTGGGAACATTTCACAGTGGTTGGATTTGATATCATGGGAAAAAAATGAGCACAGAAAGTTTCATGTAGATAAGAAGTGAAACTAGATTCATATTTCGGTAAATTATCTGCACTATTATATAGTAAAAAATTATCACTCTCTCCTTTTTATATTTTTTTAAAAGAAGATTCCTTAGAGCCTTGGCAAACTTTTCATTAGGTTTAATATTAAATCCAGGTTCTAGTATAAATCTTCAATTACTTGTGGTTCCTAAACTGCTAAACTGTCCCTCACCTCTGTAACTTTGTACATAATAATATCATGACTTGAAATGTATTTCCTCATTCTGTTTGCATATGCAATTGTTGACATCAAGAAACTCACATTTCAACAGGGGATGCATTCAAATGATACAGAAATAATTATATTAGAAGGAAGAATGAATTAATAGGAATGCAATCAAAAAGTGGCTGGAGAAACTCCAAAAAAAAAAAAAAGACTGTAATTGGGTTGAAGACAGTGGTAATTGAGATGGACTTGAAAGGACAGATATAATTTTTATTGGCAGAGTTATTAAGATGGTGAAAATAGCAGAAGAATCAGGGAAGATGCTGAAAAGTATGTGGATGTTTAGAATATTTCCCACTTGGAAATACTATTTCCAGTTTGGCTAGGATATATTATATGTAAAAATAAATAATCTACACTAATAAAAGAGAAACATGCAAATTGGTGTCACTCTGCTATGCCACCAGCCAATCAGAGCAACTATGCAAATTAACTGCCATCTTTGTTGGGTTAATTTCCATATGCAGGCGTGGAGTGAAGACTGAAGAGGTTTGGCTTCTCTGCTGTGGCCGGATCAAAGACTTGGGTTCCGGGTGCCGGAGAAAAACTGGTGCCAGCAGCCAGGAGAAAGAAGGCCCATTGCGCGAATCTTCGTGCAATGGGCTTCTAGTAGAATATAAGACTGGGGATATAAAATGGGATCATTCTTATGGAAATCTGACTGCCAGTTGAGTTATTTGTATGGAACCAGAAAGGAAGAAGACTGAGTCAAGACTAACATAATCTGAGTTACATGTAAAGAAGATGAACCTGGTAGCACTGAGTAGTATGTATTGGAGAACAGTTAGCTAGTATTACATGAGCCCAGGCAAGAAACAATAGGAGAAAGAAATACACTGTTATGAAATAGAAGAAAGATGAATAACTTAAATTTTTCTCTAAAGTCTTCACATAAAAGACTACATAAGATTGTGTCAGACTGTCCACCCAGCTTTCTGGCTCTAGAGTGACCAGTTTCAGAAAGTGAATGAGAAATTAACCAAAAGTAGAAACAACTGCTATGGAAGTTTAACCTTTATGGCTCTCTGTAATGCATTGCAGATTCCAAATGAGAGCTAGGCTTTCTTCTGCTGAATATAATTCTTGATCAGGTTCTAGGATGCAGATATGAGCAAATCGTAAAGGTTTGAAATAATATTAGAGAAAGTAGAAGAATTTTTATTCTCAAATGAATAGATATTTATAGAAGTAAATCATTTAGATGCATTTATACTCTACAAATCCTGAGTGTCTATTCTAATGCCTTACAACCTATATCAATATCTGATATTATCTGTTGATAATGTTCCAAATATTTCTGAAAAATAAAGTTTATTGAGAGAATTCTGTGAGCAAGTTAAAAAAGCCATCATTTAATAATATATTTAAAATTACAAAAATTACAAGACTTATGTAATTTATGGTTATTATAAGCTTCATCACACAATTTCTTTTCATTCCATTAATTCTAAAGTAGTAATAATCACTGATTTTATTGTGGTGACTTACAACTAAAAGCTGTTATCTGTCAGGAAATATCTTCACATAGCTCGAAAATAATATACTACAAAACTCAAAGTTGTCTTCCAGACTGACAAAAAGTGTACGCAATTTTCACAACCACATGCCAAGAAGGAAATCTGAGCACAACCTATAACCAATATGGATCTAGAACAGTGGTTCTCAACCTGTGGGTCATGACCCCTTTGGGGATCGAATGACCCTTTCACAGGGGCTGCCTAAGACCATCGAAAAACACATATATAATTACAGATTGTTTTTGTGATTAATCATTATGCTTTAATTACGTCCAATTTGTAACAATGAAACTGGGGGTCACCACAACATGAGGAACTGTATTAAAGGGTTGCAGCATTAGGAAGGTTGAGAACCACTGATCTAACATATTAGTATGTGTAATATAGTAATGTAATAATATGTTATTTTTATTCATTCAGAATAAGGCAAGCAATGTGGTAGACAGATGTACTCTGAAAATGCTTTTGTAATAATGGTTTATGTTACCTGTTTTCTTCTAGTATCTCTATACCTGACCCAGCACCTAGTCCAAAGACATACTCTTGGCAAGTACTTGATAGAGACTTGAATTTTGTTGTCATCATTGTACAAAGACTGATATTGTACTCTTCCTGAAAATTATCCAGATTTTGCTTATTTAGAGCAGGCTATTATCTAATGAAACTAGAAAGAGTCATCAGCACTTAATGATCTTATCTTCTGCCTCTAGCACACTATATATTCTGCACAGAGCCTTAACTGTTGTTTCTACTCATGGCAGGCACACACACACACACACACACACACACACACAGGGATACCTTACCTCTGTCACAGTTCTCTTCATCACTGCCATCCACACAGTCATGAACTCCATCGCACAGCCATCTAATTGGAACACAGTGGGCTTTATTTCTGCATCGAAACTGATCTTCCTTACATTCAGTCACACAGTCCATCTGTTCCAATACAAATGGGCACTGTAGTTTTTATTAATGATAACACGCAGTCACAAGCACAAGAAGCATGCAGCTGACACTACTGGAGACTGACCACACAGTGGGCTTTTTCATTTTGATTGAATGAATGTAATCTCTGCAAATGACAATGGGATTTAGTCTATAAACAACATTAAAATTCAGGTATTTGTTGAAATTACTGTAGTGAATGTACTTGTTCTAGCATTTTAGACAGATAAGAATCCAGATTCTGTCACTTTCCTCTATTTTTATTACATTTGCTTTCCTAAATCTAATTCATGTAATTCAGAGATTTTAATCAAATGATAGATTGTACCTCATCTGAACCATCAGCACAGTCATATTCTCCATTACATTTCAAAGATGCTGAAATACATCCTCCGCTGGCACATATATATTCACTTGATGAGCAAGTAGGAGAAGCTGAATATAATTATAAAGTTGAAATTTAGATTCAGTAAAAAGAATGACTGGCTTCATAGAAAAAAACATACAGAAGCATATAAAAATTCATACAGAGTAATGAAAATAGTTCATATTATATAAACTATATTCAGCATTTGATATTAAATATTCATTTAAATGTGTTTTACAATATTATAACATTGTATTCAATATGCCTCAATAATATAATATTCTGCTCAGTAAGTATTCAATTCACTAAACTAAAGACAGGACAGAAAAGCCACTATATTGCTCATGCTTTTGATTTTGAAGAGCTAAATAAATTTTTTATAACTAAATAAACTCATGTACAAAACTAGATCCAGAGACAGAGAAGCACTGAACAGACCATTAAACCTCAGAGGGAAGGCAAGGGAGGGTGGGGGGGGGATGGGAGTGATTATGCAAATTAACCCAACAAAGATGGAGGTCAACTTGCATATGCAGGCACGGAGCAGAGACTGAAGGCATCCAGCCAGAGTGAAGACTGAAAACTGAAGACTGAAGACTGGCAGCAGAGAAGCCAAGCCTCACTGGGGCCACAACGGAGAAGCCTAGCCTCGAGGCTTGGCTTCTCTGCTGCAGCCGGACCAAAGGCCTGGGTCCCGGGTGCCGGAGGAAAACCGGTGCCGGCAGCCAGGGGAAGGAAGGCCTATTGCGCGAATCTTTGTGCAACGGGCTTCTGGTATATATATAAAAAGCCTAAGTGACCGTTATGACAGAATGACCAGAATGACTGGTTGACTAGTTGCAGTTACATTCACTGACCACCAGGGGCAGACACTCAACACAGAAGCTGCCCCTTGGTGGTATGTGGGCTCCCACAGGGGGAGCGCCGCTCAGCCAGAAGCTGGGCTCTCAACTGGCGAGCAAAGCTGTGGTGGCAGGAGCCTCTCCCGACTCCTCAGCAGCGCTACAGAACAGTGGTGGCAGGTGCAGTGGGCCAGGAAGAGTGCAAGTGGCATGGCACCCAGCCCCGGCTTAGGCTTGTTCCTGGCTGCTGCCACTTGGTGCACTGTTCCATCCCCCGAGGCTGAGGAACCGCTCCCCCATGCACAAATCTGTGCACTGGGCCTCAAGTTTATAAGATAAAAGCCTTACACTATTTTCAAAACTGTAAATAGGATTTAGTGAATCTTGGGAATGTTCTCTCATATATATACATATATATATAGCTAAATGTGGAAATCGTGGCATGGTCTCACAGACACTGTAATATCTATTTGATTATGTTGACATAATTTTCATATTTGCATAACTTATAAGACTTATTCTTGTTCTGGGGTTTTGAACACAAGTACATGTATACTTAACAGAGTCTATAGAATTTGAAGTATTCCTTTATGACACAGAAAATATAAACAACAAGTAGATATATAAGTAATTACCAGAACCCAATCTAATTAATTGACATCAGAATTATTATAGCTTCTTTTGCTATGGCTTTGCATTTGTTTGCATTCAAACTTCGGGGTTCTTAGCCTTACTTTAGATACTAAGTAGACAAATACCATATACTTACTTTGTGGTCTGAATTGCATGTTCCAGGAACGCTGAAAAGCCTTTTCCTTATGTTTTAATTTATTTTAATTGACAATGGTTGCCTAGGATTTGTTTTATTAATGAGTCTGAGAACGTCTCTGGATTCAGTAAGAAAAATTATGTGACCAATTAGAGCAGCGGTTCTCAACCTGTGGGTTGCGACCCCTTTGGGGGTTAAATGACCCTTTCACAGGGGTCGCCTAAGACCATCGGAAACAACATATATAATTACATATTGTTTTTGTGATTAATCACTATGCTTTAATTATGTTCAATTTGTAACAATGGAAATACATCCTGCATATCAGATATTCACATTATGATTCATAACAGTAGCAAAATTACAGTTATGAAGTAGCAAAGAAAATAATTTTATGGTTGGGGATCACTGCAACATGAGGAACTGTATTAAAGGGTTGTGGCATTAGGAAGGTTGAGAACCACTGAATTAGAGCTATGGATCTTGGGCATGGTACTGGACATGGTCATGTGTGTGCATTGTATCTGCTACTCTTACCTAATCTCTCAAAGTAATGCTTTCATGGTTATACACAGATTATAGTATACTTTCCCTAGTGATTTCTATAATACGTTTTTAAAATAGTTAACTATAAAAATTAAGTTTTTAATAAGCATATTTATAGAGCCATATTTAAGAAATGAAAATGTATAAATTGGGTGTGTTTTTCCTATATGCTGGTTTTGCTTCCTAATTTTGTTTTGATTTTGGACCAAGATGTAAACAGAAATAATACACTTATGCTTTTTCTCAGTTGGTATCATGTTAAAATTACTATACCCTATTTCATAATTTTAATTTCCATAGTAGAAAACTTAACTTTTATCATATTTACAGTTTCAACATATTTCATTGTGTTGTCATGAAAAAAAAATACCAAATGATGTGGAAAGATACAGAAACTAAAGGTCAAATTTGGGGGAGTAATGCTTGGATCTCAAACATAGTAATAATTTTACCTATTGAAACACTTTCAAAACATAAAAAGGGCACACCAGTAAAGCTATATACAGATATTTCAGATTATGTCTAAAAAACAGAAATCTGTGTATGAATTTTCCACTGTTTTCTAAATATCATTGTGCAAATTTAAATTCTATCAGGTTGAAATATCAGCTAAACTAATTCCACCTGCGTTGTCTTACCTGGATCGCAGTTCTTCTCATCCTCGCCATGTTTGCAGTCCTCATGACCATCACATGTCCATTTTGCTGATATGCACTGACCATTGGAACATCGGAACTGATCTCTGGAACAACTAGTTTCACAATTTCTCTGTAAAAAAACACAACACAGATGTATTTAAAACTTAATTATTAGACAAATGTAACCCAAAGACAACTAAACCCTTATGCATAGAAACCTAGAAGTATAGAAATCAAGTTTGCCTCATACAGGGTGGGGCAAAGTAGATTTACAGTTGTCCATATGAAAAACAATAATACAATTAGTAATAAGTAATAATAATACAAGAATAAACTGTGTTTTGCATATTCACAAGTGTAAACCTCCTTTGCCCCACCCTGTATAAATAGCTCAGTTGGTCATGGATAAGCCCAGTGCTACCTAAAATAATTATAACAAATTTCCACTTTTCTTTGTGAGTGATAATAAAACAGAGAAATGCAAATAAAAACATAAATGCTTCGACTTCATCCTACGAATTAAATTGCTCAAAGTGGATTGTTCAGGGCTGACACAATTTTAATAACTGTAAGGGAGAATGAAGATTGTGAGGGGAAAAGGTTAAAGAATTATTTCTAAAAATTACATCCAGTTCATTGGGAGTGGGGTGGGGAGATGGCATGTGAAACAAACAAGAAACTTAAAGCAATTCTGTTTGGCATTGGCAAATCTCTCCTCGTCTTCTTTCTTTAGCCTTCTTCTCATCTTTCCCCCTGTACCCGTTCTTTTACTATTTGGCTTGCTGTTCACAATCCTCTCTCCCAACAATTGTTCATAAAATCAACTGTGAAATGAACTGTCACAATTGTCATTTCTGCTAGCTCACATATAAATTTTATTTGGAAGTCAAATAGTAGATATACCTTCGGGGATATGTCGATTCTTTATATGTGATCAGTGAAAGGGATCCACTAGAAATTTACCTTCCTTCGGGGCTGCCATCCTGATTGAAATGGAATGGTACCATGACACGTCTTGCTGGGATTATGATTTTTTATTGTTAAGGAATTTATACTCTTGCCAAAATGTACTTGTCTGTTCCTTCCACAACCGGTGCAACTTTATCACAGCTTGTGAAATGGAACATCTCGATCAATTACTCTCTGCTTCTTCTTAGTTTTACCCTCATGGAGGGATGGAGAGTTTACTTTCATTTCTACAATTTTCTCTTTGTTGATAGCAGTTTAATAGGCTGCCTGCTGTATAATTTGTTTTCCACTTCCCTTCTTTCCCCAAGTATAAATAGTTTACTCTTTGCCGGAGTGTTTCTTAACTAAGAATACGAATCAAAATAAGATTTTTCTCCCTGTATTTGATTAACTAAGAATACGAATCAAAATAAGATTTTCTCCCTGTATTTGATAAACTCATTGAGTGTTAAAAAGGCCGGTACCTAAACCAACAATTGCAATAAAATTCATTAATTGTCAAAATTAGTTCAATAGTTTCAAACATACATATTCTTAAGGTTTTTAAGAAAGGCTTCACAGTGAAAGCTTAAACAGAAATGGAACTACCTAAGAAAGGCTTTTAATGTGTAAGGATAATTTGAAATGTGCTACATCTGAGGAGTAAGCTATGTAACAGTGAATGGTGTCGAAAGTGTTGGAGAAGTAGTCATGAAAAAGGGATTTCATATGTTTTATTCACTGCTGTGCTCCTCATGCTCAGTGTTGTTCCTGGGACATAATAAGCATTCAATAGAAACTGATGAATAAATAAATGAATGAGTGAATGAAGTAGCAAATGCAGAAAATAAGAGGCAATAGGGTGGTGAATGTCTGGGGCAGGACAGGAACCAGGTTGGGGAGCAATGAGGAGGAAATAAGGGGGATACTGTAGTACTCTCAACAGTAAATAATATTTTTTTAAAATCTAAAACATTCTCATGTAATTAAGCTCCACTGGTATAGGAATTATATTTGTCTAAGTACCAAGTATCTATGACCACACCATGATTATAATAACTGTCCCATATATATTTGTAGAATTAATGAAGTATTATCTTAGCATTAAGACAAATTTCAGGGAAATAATTCTTAATTCATTAACCAATGGCATTGGTGTATCTTTATTGACAGCACAAAAAGTGGTAATTTTAGGCACTTTCTATATCATCAGAAGATTTTGATCTACAATAAAGCATAGTTGGTGTGTGTGTGTTTACTTGTCAGGTATTTAATTAACATACACAGAAAGTAGAGAGACTAGAACAATGAGTCCCATGTGCCCACCATCCATGTTTAACCATTAACAATATTTTATGCTTCATACATCCTCTTCCCACTTATTTACATTCTGAATTATTTTAACATAAAAACAACAATATCAGAAAATTAACATCACAAAATTAACAAAAATTTCTTAATATAAAGTTATTCTTAATTCTTTCCTCAAATATCCTTGTTTTCTTAACTGTATAAATGATTGCTTGGTACAATAAGGATCTAAAAGAGGTCTGCACATTGAATTTGGTTTGAATTTGTTTTTTTAATGTGGGACTATTTCCCATTTTCCTAGTTTCTTAAATGATATTTACTACTTAAAGATCATTTGTCCTATAAAATGTCCCACATTCTACATTTGTCTGATTGAATATTAAGAATGCAGATAGCTTAACAACCTCCGAAGTGAAAAATAGCCTTTTATTTTTTCTAAAAATTATTATGAATTTATGTATTTGTATACATTTATTGTATTTCAATCCATTGCAACCATTTTATTATTTATGATGCTCAAATTTTTCCTTTCATCAATGGAAATCTCTTCAAATTTGCTCCTAAGTACTCTGGACACAATCCTGAGTCTTGTCTGGTTTGACACGATGTTAGCTGCTCATTTTGTCAATTTCCTTTCTAGGACCTGGAATTAGATGTCTACTTTAACATGAGTAAGACTTTTGAAAAAGAAATGTTTGATTCTGTACATGTACCTTGGACATTTCCTGAATAACATGCAAGGTAAAATCATAAGCCTTAAGCAATATATCACCTCCTCTTGATGTTTCATAGATTAAACAGGGCTTGAGGTAAATGTTTTTACAGAAAACAAAACAATTTCATGATATGAAGAAGTTTGTGTGAAATGTGTCTTTCCTGACTGGGGAATGTTTAATATAATCCTTGACTAAATAGATGCTAAATAAAGATTTAGCTGATCAGTGTAAGAATTTAACTCCCATGAATAGAAATAGTATTTTTCAACTTCTAGGAAACCTTCGCAACCTGGAGGTTTAGGTTTTCTGGCCTCCAGGTGAGAAGTTACAGCCATTGGTTTCCAAATTCCAGGCACCTGAGTGTGATTACAGGGATTTTTCAAGATAGTGAGATGTCATGCAGAATTGTGTAATCTTGATAAGAATGCCTGAAGACTGGGACAAAACAGTTCATGTGGGTTCTATCAATAGTAAAGACCTTTGGCTTCTCCCAAAGAAGCAGGATCTTAGTAGGTACTGCAGGGAGTTGGACCTGAAATTCAGAAGCCTCTGGAGCCCCCCGGAAGATTGTCTCTGGCCACGCCCACAGCCAGCGGCGGTCCTTCAGGAGGGGGAACTACATATGCATGTCGACCACAGCAGCCTAGCTCCAGGGAGTCATGTTCCCCCACTGAGGACCAGGGACCACATTTGTCCTTCATCTCTGACTGGATTTGATCGCACAAGTGCTGTGTTCCTGATATTAACATGCACAGTCATTAACAGAGAAAATCATGAGAAATGAGTGTTGCTGATTTGCTTCCTGGTAATAAAAACTGAGGTCATCAGGTCATTTTCGACTTGGTTGAGAAAAAATATAACCACATGTCATGTATTATTTTTAAAGCGTCGTGGATGGAGTAATTAATAGGTGAAAAACATAGATTCATAAATAACGAATCGTGTGAAGTAGCATAAATGTTAGCACAACCTAAGTTTACATAATTATACAGAGACATTCTAAACGTTTTCGCTTAAGCTGTGTGTACACAGGCCTTGTTATAAATGGATTGTGATTCATCAACTAAGCACAGCTGAACCTGTGGTCTCATGAAAATTGATGACCTACATAGACATCTTTGAGACTGTATCTATGGAGAAAGAGACTGGGGAGAAGAAACTGTTTTAAATGCATAAAATATTAGTCCTGCCTATGGATACTGCAGCAAATTTACGAACACATTCACTAACGGCAAGGGCAGCAGCTAGAGGGAATAAGCTTTCCAAACATCCTATTCCCAACCGAGCCATTCACCACTTGAGGTAAAACAGATTATAAAATTGACTGTCAACAGCAGCACAAGCACTATTCCCTGTGCTGGGCGTGTGCGGCTCTGAGCTTAGACATAATACTTATCTCTCAGAGTGTCAGGAGCAAAGTACATTTCAGAGTGTCCTTGGATTAAACAATAATAATTATACATGTGATTCTAAAACACCACTTTAGTTTTTGTTTGATGTTGCAAAGTTGCCTACCTCATCAGAGCCATCCGCACAGTCAAAATCCCCGTCACACCAGAACCTGGAGGAGACGCAGTCCCCATTGGCACAGAGAAAATCCTTCAACGTACAGGTCTGTGGCTCTGGGGACGGAAACAGCAGCACAGGGTTATCCTATTATATGCAACTGCATTTTAAAATTTAAATAGCATACAACACGAGGTTAGCATTAATAAAAAAAGTGGTTATAACTAATAAATCGTTCAGGAAAAATGTTTGATGAAGCATCTGAGGTACATAATATAATGATCTTTCCAATTTATTTCTAAAGTCATGAATAGAAAGTGGCATTCTAGAAACAAATTGAAACAAAGACAAGAGATAAATAGCCCATTGTTCCATAAACATACAGCAGCAAAGTAAAATAAAAGGTATAAAAAGCTACATATTATAATATAGCAGTAATCCTCCCCGGTTGTTGGAATTCCAAGTCATTTTATGTGTTTACTTGGGGTAAGACATTCTGTGAAACTCTGTTCTCACAGGGCTATTTCCTGACTGAGGAGTCTTGCCCATGGTTTTTTACTTTCTACTATGCGTTATAATGACTTTCTAATTCTTCAATTTTATCCCCACATACTCCAGAGTTCATAGAACAAGAAGGGCATGGGGGGTATTATTGGACATGACTGGTGGATACAGGTGGAAGAGGCAGATGGAAGCTCTTTTATTTTTTTCTTTGAAAACTGCCTATTTGTTTATACAATTGTTTTCTTATGCCCTACGTAATTTACCTGTCATTTTGGGTAATTTTCCAGTTGTTGATTTAATGATGCTTACCATATCCCATATAGGACATAAGCCAAATAGTATGACTTGCTACCTGGCTTAAGTGGAATGTATTTCATCTGAACAGTAAAGTAGGATTGCAGAAATTTGCTCCTGCAAGTAATTTCTAGGACTGCTGGGAATCACCGCTTGTTTAGTTTTTGTTCTCTAAACCGACCTGATATCCAGCATGATGAAAGACATTTTTCCTCTACTGGTTAACTGTATTTATAGCTATCTTACAAACAATAATATCCTTATTTGGGAGAAGGAGAAAGAAATAATTGGAATTACTTTTAAGGAACATCCATATGAGGTCTAATCTCCTACATAAAGATTGTGAAAAACTCAGCCTGCATTTGAATACTGCTCTCACAGCCCTTGGTTTCTAGCTATAGGGTAACATCTTGAATGCCTGGAACCATGAAAGCGCCTACATTTCTACATAAAGAACACTGCGGAGATCACTGGGGGAACGGTGGCAAGTGGAATATGTATCAGAACATTCTGTTATCACTTTATTTTAAAATGTGAACTTCAGGCTACAGAATAAGACAAGCTGCTATTTTGAAGAATGGAAAAAAGCCACTAACTGGAGGATGCTCTTCACGTCTCAGGACTCCTATGTGAGCATAACAATCGTGGCTTCTTTTACTTTTCGCCTTTGCCTGTGTTTACATATATTATACAGTACTTGAATCTTAAAAAACAACTGTATTAATATTAGTATTACTACTTATAACGGTAATAATTAATATCAGCTACTGATTGCTTATTTGGTGTTAAGCACTAGGTGACATTAATGCTAAGTACTTGAATTACTTCATCAAGCTGAAGTACTCTATAAGGCAGTGTTATTATTGGACCCTTTTTGGACGAGCAATCTGAGGCACAGAGAAGATAAGGAACTTACTCCAAATCACCCCGTATGCATAAGAGCTAGTACTAAATCCGAACCTAGATGACCTGATACCAGGGCCTCTGCTTCTGTGTTAGGCCATACTATTGTCTCCCGTACTGAGGAGGTAATTGCTTGCATATTACAGAGATGAATGTTAAATCCCTGAGAATTCAAGTTACTTGTCCAAGGCAAATGGCTAACAATGTCCATTTCATTTCATAAAAATCAAAGAGAGCTGGCCATGACCATTGATAGCAGAGAAGGCAAAACAATCTCAGAAATAAACAGCTTTGAAAGCCATCTTGTACAAAATTGAAGTAACTACATTCAGAAAATAAAACTGATTTTTAAAGCCATATTGTTAGTGGCAGAGCAGAAAGGTTTACAGACTCCAATTTCTCCACTGTGCATCCTATATAATAAAAGCCTAATATGCAAATCAACTGAATGGCAGAATAACCAGAAGAACGACTGGTCACTATGACATGCACTGGCCCCCAGGGGGCAGATGCTCAATGCAGGGGCTGCCCCCAGCCCACAGGCCCCAGGCCAGCCAAGGCAGGTACCAGCAGAGGTGCCCTGATCGCCGCCATTTGCCATGCAGACAGTGGTGCCAGGCCAGTCAAAGTGGGTGCCAGTGGGGGCCCCACAGATCGGCCCTGATCAACAGCCAGGCTTAGAGACCCTACCTGTGCATGAATTTTGTGCACCAGGCCTCTAGTATTTAATAAAAGACAGTGACAGATTCCTTGTAATTTGGGGTATACAGATAGAATAGCAAGTCTGAGAGACAAGCTGCATTGCAAACTGCTTGCACTGGTTTGAGGAAACATTTCCATTTGCAAAGCGCTCCCTGGAACTGATGTGTAGAGCATGCTCAACCCTCTAGTTCCATTCTTCTGCTTGACTGCCACACCACTCCAGAGCAGAAAAAGAGGATGGGGCTTGGTTCTGGCAAGATAGAGGGTGGCCTTAGCATCCATACTTTAACTCCCACAGAGGAGACTGGTAGGGGCATCATTCTGAGGCCATCTTTCCTTCAGTTCATCTCCAGTAAAAAGTATGATTACTGATGATCAGCTTTCAGGCAGAAAATAGCTGTTAAGCTTAGAAAATCTTTGATAGAGTGACTGTTATGCTGTTGTGTAATATTTCATGTTAAGTAGTTTGTTTCACTTATTGAGTAGTAAATATTTCTATGTTATGGTCCTTCACATCTTTTTATTATAGTAAATAAGGACAGAACTATTTAATTCAAGTAACTCTGGTATGTAATATAGCTTTTTCAAACATCTTGTACATATCTATGTATTATTTGAGTACAAAGCAAGTATATACTTTATTTTTTACTAGCTATTTTTTAATACAC